TGTCTATACAGAACATAAAAATTTGACCCAAACAAAACTATTTGTTCCCAAAATCTGAGCAGGTCAGTTATTTGAATCTGACAGTGAAGTAAAGTGCTATTTTGTACATGCTAAACAGAGATGCAATCATTTGGTGCCTGCTGAAGTACTGTCCATGCTTTAAGGAAGAAGAATGAAAGATCCCCAAATACACACTGCTTTATATCTTTTATACAAAAATGAAAGAAAGCTCTATATTCTCTAAGCAATGGTCTATGGAGAAATACTTTTTTATTTTACAGCAAAACCTGTATTTAATACTCCAATAAATATGGAGATAACCTTGATCACCCGATTATAGAAAATGCTAAAAGACAGTAATACAATTAAAATCATGGCATGCCGAGAAGACAAGAGGAGTGCTTTACCTGTACTTTCCTGAGACTTCTCCTGCAAGCTAAAGGCAGTGAGGGCTGGTTACAGTGATGTAGAATTGCCACATAAAATTGATCTTGGCTGCATTGTATAATAAAGGAGCCTGTGACCAATACAATGCTTTTTAATTCTGCAATGGGAGTTTTACCTGATGTAGATATTTCTAGACAGTTGATGGATTTTTTTCAAGTATATCACATTTTAGATCATTTAACTTTAATGTCATTTTTATAAGCCCAGATTTAGTAAAAGCAGTAAAGCTTAGATGTCATCATTTACTCAAAAAGCCTTTATTAGGATATTCCAAGTAAACACCTTTTTCTGTTAAAAAGCACACAATCTCCCTGCCTTAAATCTCTGCAGAAAGGAAATGGAAGAAACAGATGCCCAGATATGAACCAATATATTGACCTGAAATTTTTGTTTTGCACATCACTTCTCTCCACAAACAAACCCATTTTTCACATCTTTCACCTTTCTCCTTTTGCCTTGCTATTTTGGTATACCTTCCAATTTTCCTTTTGAAAATCACCATATTTCTTAATTTAGTGTTATTTATGATAAAATATTTGAGTTTCTAGTATAGAGTTTGGAGCTTAAGCCCAGCTACAACCTGATGGGTTAAAGGTGCTTAATGAAAAAATACTCTTTTCATGAGGAGAAAATTACAGAAAACTTTGTGAAACATTGAATGTCTCTTTAACCACAAAGGCATCTAATTACTTGCACAATCTGTGTAGACTAAGAAGTTTGATATGTAAAATAAACGACAAAAGGCAATAGGTCTATTTCAGTTTCATTTGAAATGAACTTCTGCTTTATAAAACAAAAAGAAAAAGAAAAAAATGGCATGTGTATACACACATATGCACATGAGACAGAGGCAGAAAGGCAAGGAGAGAGAGAGAAAAGCATAAATTATAGCCCACTTGTAAAGTTCTTTTCTGGCTCATAAAAGGTCATGAGTTATTATGAAACATCAGATTCACAGAAAAATACTAATTAATTAAAAAGAATAAATTAAACTCATATTCATAGAAAACAGAATATTATAACATACAGAGCTTACTTAAGAAAAAAACAAATAAAAAACATGGCTGCTGAAGGTTTGGTTATGAGTCTTAGTATCTGCTTTGATACACTGCTAGGTAGAGTCTTTCAGAAGCCCTCTGTGGTAGGCTCCTGTCCTGTTACTTGTTTTCTCCTACATCCAACACACATTCCATTTGTCTTTCTAAGTGAGGATTGATCATCTTACCCCAACCTTCGGCAGAGTGCAGGGAATCATTTGAAAGAAGGGGGAGTTACTATGAAGTGGAAAGGATAGGAGATACACAGGACCAAATATATCTGGACACAGGGGTCTTTTCTGTGACTGATACTCCACCAAGGACCATGTATGGATATAACCTAGAACCTCTGCTCAGAGGTAGCCCATGGTAGCTCAGTAACCAAGTGGGTGACCCTAGTAAGGGGAACAAGGACTATTTCTGACAGGATCTCAAGGGCAAGCTCTTTGACCTCCCCACCCCACAAGGGAGGAGCAGTCCTGTTAGGCCACAGAGGAGGACTTTGCAGCCAGTCCTGAAGATACCTAATAAAACAGGGTCAGATGAAAGGGAAAGATGTCCTCCCCAATCAGTGGACTTGGATAAGGGCAGGGAGAAGCTGAGGGAGGGAGGGTGGGATTGGGAGGGAATGAGGGAGTGAGATACAGAGTTAATAAAATGTAACTAATAATAAAATTAAAATAAGAAATAAAAGATAACGTGGCTGCATTACTGAAAAAGGGACAGTCAATGCTGCCTAGAGGAAGGGATGCTATGTTTGTTAATGTGTAACCAGCACAAGTTGCCCATATTCTAGGAAACAACCTCTGACTCATGCTTATGTAGGAACATCATTAAACTGAGTGGGTAACACACATTGAAAGACTTGAGAGTAGGAAGGGCACTTGCTGGGAAGAGGAGGGTTTGGGCTTGTAGAGGTGGTAGAACTCGTATCACTTGAGTGGGTTGCCAGAGCCTTAAGCCAGAAGCTCAATTCTGGGGACAGAGAGATCCTAATAAATCATATTCTGCAACTGGCTCATAGAAAGCAAAGGAAAACAGCAATGTTGAAGTCAGGAAAGGAATTTAATACTCCACGTGATCATATAGGAAGACAGAACAATAATCTTTATCTCTATTTGGGGGGAACTGGTATGAACTTTGGATTAAGCAACCAAAGAACTAAAGGAGGGTACAAGTACTGACTTGGTCAACTGTGATCTGGTTGAACATTTTTTCAGTTCTGTAAGGGGATTCTGAGAATTATTGCTTGAAGGGATATCTACCTTCCATACTGAAATTACTGTATCACAGTTGAGCAGCCTCTGTTCCTATTATAGGCAATTATTCCCATTATGGAGCAGGTGTTTACATTATGGGGCAGTTGTTCTGATTTGGGGCAGCTGTTCCAATTACACAGCAATTATTCCCATTATGGGGCAGTTATTCTCATTATGGGGTAGTTAATCCCATTACGGGTTGGTTGTTCCTACTCAGAAAGATCAGCTTCATAAGGAAGTGATCTGCTTACTGGTTTCTGAATCAAAGGTAACTACACGTTTCCGGTTATGACTTGAAGATCGTCAGCACATTCCAGAGGTCAGGAAAAGGATATTGTAAATATACTGACAATTTTTGGGACTTTAGTTACTGTTATCTTGGTTTCTTCAACCATGAATGAAGGAGATTACCATTTTCTGATGGATACCCCTTAAATGACTAACATACCCACATGCAGAGATGAGTAGGAATCTGACTCTAATGAAATATATACAAAATAAAGTCATAAATATTAAGATAGCTTAACAGCACCAGAGTTAGATAAAATGCCTCTTATAATTCAAATGTCAGGGCCATTGTTTTTTATTGTGTAGTAAGATGCATGATCTTTCTGCTTTATGTACTTGTGAATGTTGTGATTGACGTAAAACTATACAGAAACAGCAAATCTGTCTTGACATCACATTGATCAAGCCTGTTTTTGATGCTAGGACAATGTGAACACACTGAGGAGGGAAATACCACATGATTTTGCTTGAGTTGGCCATCAAAGAAAAAATTGATATGCAAATCCCTTCAGTCAAGAAAATCTGTCACAGATAACTTTTTATGGGAAGTTTAAAATGCCAAGGCAAAGGTTGAAGTGTCATCCACAAAGAGCAAGAGATTTGATAGAAATCTACATTACATAGTTCCAGTACAGATTTATTCTGCATGGAAAAGTCAGAAGCTTCTCTGGGCAGGTGCCAATACAAAAGTTTTGGCCTAGTTTTTCTATTGTGATTTTGGAGATTGTCCCTGAATATTAAACCTTGACTTTTCCAAAAATTTGCAAAGTACCTTGGCTACTTGACTCGTATTCTGTCATCACTTGAACCCTCATTCACAAGGACTTCATGTTAGTACTTTAGTAGCTCATGCAAATAAAGGCCCAAGTGCTTTTCTACTATAGGATTCTGGATAAATAAGAAATAATCTGGTATTTCTAGCAATGAAAGAGAGGTGTCTTGTGAATACAAAGAAGTCATGAGGTAATCCAAACAAGAATAAAGAGCTAATCAGTTGTTGAGTGATTATGCAGGCACTTTGTAGGTGTAGCAGGCACTTTCTGTCTTTGCTATGACAGAAATCATGACTGAAAAGAGGACTGATTTATTTTGGCTGATGATTCAAAAGATATCAATAAATCCATCACAACTACAAGGTCATGGGAGGGATCTTGGTCCTCAGTGGTGAGAATGCTGGGTAGTTGTTTGTTATAAGATGCAAACTAAATATTAGAGTCCTTTGGGTGACTGCAAGCAAGCTCCATCTCCAGGAAATCTACCTCCTCTAGAGGATGACACATTCTGAGCTAGTGGTTCTCAACCTTCCTAACACTGTGACCACTTAACACAGTTCCTCAGGCAGTGGTCATCCCTAAAATTATTTTTTGCTGCTAATTCATTACTGTAAATTTACTACTGTTGTGAATCATACTGTAAATCTCTGATATGCACTGTTAGGCAAACCTTGTGAAAGGGTGGTTCAACCTCAAAAGGTTGCACAACCTCACCAAACAGTGTCAGCATCATGGGACTAAATATTCAAACATATGAGTTCGTAGAACACATTTCATGTAGACATTATGGCAAAATCATGACACCTCTCACCTCTTTTTAGTAAAGAAATGCCAATACGTACAAAAGTAATCCCATTCTCAGGCAGATTCGTGATCCAATGCAATCCCCATTGAGCTGGGAATCTAACCCTCAAGTTACACACTTCAGAAGCAGAAGCAGAAAAAGTCACATGCTCAATACAGTTTTTCTTTCAAATGTTCATATGTACACTTCACACACACACATGTGCACACACACATTCACACACACACTTACACACACCACAAATAACAATTTAAAATTATAAGAAATATTTGTAGAAAAATTTCCAGCTTCCTCAATATAGTTTTGTTCAGTCCTTGACAGTTTCTTGAGAAGGTCAGGATGCATTTACCTACTCTATGTGCCCTGTACTGACATGAGTGCTTATTTTCAGAGCTGGAAGCTGAGGAGTGGTGCAAACACCTTTGCATGGAATGCCTGGGAACGAGGCTGAATGATATCAGCCTAGGGGAGCCTGACCTTCTGGCAGCTGGGGTGCAACGGGAACAGAACGGTGAGTGAATACCCGCTTTTCTATTATGTCAGGGGCTGACACCAGAAAGGAACTCAGAGATTTCTCAGCACATTCAGGCTTTAGAGGAGGTTATTCTCCTTAAGGATGTGGCCCCTGGTCATGAACAAACTCTTGTGAAATACACAGAGCCAAGAGTACATGAGCAGAAAAAGTAAAAAATGATGGGCTAAAAAAATAAATGAGGACACAAAAGTTTAGTATATATGGAAGCAAGGTGTAGCTGGGAAGTATTAGAGGCAGGCAGTGAATATAATCAAAACACAACATACAGAGGTCTCCAAGAATTAGTACAAATATCATGACTAGACCCCTGGGTCTTCTATTTGGTTCCATTGATCCTCCTTTCTGTTTCTATGCCACTACCATGCAGTTTTTATTATTGCTCTGTAGTACAGCTTGAGATCAGGGATGGAGATACCTCCGGGTGATCTGTTGTTGTACAGGATCGTTTTGGAGACTCTGGGGGTTTTGTTTCTCCATAAGAAACTGAGAATCTTTCTTTCAAGGTTTGTAAAGAATTGAGTTGGTGTTTTGATGGGAATTGCGTTGAATTGGTAGATTGCTTTTGGCAGGATAGCCATTTTCACAATGTTAATCCTATCAATCCATGAGCACTGGAGACCTTACCACCTTCTGAGATCTTCTTCAATTTCTTTCTTCAGAGACTTAAAGTTTTTTTCAAACAGATCTTTCACTTGCTTGATTAGAGTTACCCCAAGGTACTTTATGTTATTAGTCCTGTTGTGAAGGGTGTTGTTTCCCTGATTTCTTTTTCAGCCCTTTGTCTTTGGTATACAGTAGGGCTTCTGTTTGTTTGTTTGTTTTTTTTTTTATTAATTACACTTTATTCACTTTGTATCCCCCCTGTGGTTCCCTCCCGCCTCCCGTCCCAAACCCTCCCTTCCTCCACCCTCTGCATGCATACCCCTCCACAAGTTCACTGATAGGGGAGGACTTCTTTTCCTTCCTTCTTATCCTAGTCAATTTAGGTCTCATTAGGAGTGGCTGCATTGTCTTCTTCTGTGGCCTGGTAATGCTGCTTCCCCTTCAGGGGAAGGTAATTAAAGAGCAGGCCAAGCAGTTCATGTCAGAGGCAGTCCCTGTTCCTATTACAATGGAACCCACTTGGATACTGAACTGCCATGGGCTACATCTGGGCAAGGGTCTTAGGTTATCTCCATGCATAGTCCTTGGCTGGAATAGCAGTCTCAGGAAAGACCCCTGTACTCAGAATTTTTGATTCTGTTGCTCTCCTTGTGGAGTTCCTGTCCTCTCCAGATCTTACTGTTTCCCACTTCTTTCCTAAGACTCCCTGCACTCTGCCCAAAGGTTGCCCATAAGTCTCAGCATCTACATTGATAGTCTGCAGGGCAGAGCTTTTCAGAGGTCCTCTGTGTCAGGCTCCTGACTTGTTCCCTCTTTTCTCCTTCTTCTGATGTCCAGCCTCTTTGCCTTTCTGGATAGGAATTGAGCATTTTAGCAAGAGTCCTCCCTCTTGATTAGTTTCTTTAGGTGTTCAGATTTTAGTAGGTTTATCCTCAAGTTTGGGTATGTTGTGCCTTCATTTTCATTGAATTCTAGGAAGTCTTTAATTTCTTTCTTTATTTCTTCTCTGACCCAGCTGTCATTTAGAAGCAATTTGTTCAGTTTACATGTGTGTGTGTAGGCCTTTTGCTATTTTTGTCATTGGGGTCCAGTTTTAGTCCATGGTAATCAGCTAGGATACAAGGGATTATTTCAATATTCTTGTATATGTTGAGGCTTGCTTTGTGACTAACTATATGGTCTATTTTGGAGAAGGTTCCATCAGGTGCTGAGAAGAAGGTAAATTCTTTTGTGTTTGGGTGAAAGGTTCTATAGTTGTCTGTGAGGTCCATTTGATTCATGAGCTCTGTCAGAGTTATTTTGGTTTTTTTGTTTTGTTTTGTTTTGTTTTGTTTTGTTTTGTTTTCAGTTATATTTGTATCCAGCCACTTTGCTGAAGGTGTTTATCAGCTGGTTTAATTTTTAAGGTCGCTCATGTATACTATCATATCATCTGCGAATAGTGACACTTTGACCTCTTCCTTTCCGATTTGTATCCCCCTGATCTCCCTTAGTTTTCTTATTGCTTTAGCTAGGACTTCAAGTACTATGTTGAAGAGATACGGAGAGACTGGGCAGCCTTGCCTTGTCCCTGATTTCAGTGGGATTGATTTAAATTTAAATTTCTCTCCATTGAGTTTGATGTTGGCTATAGGCTTGCTGTATATTGCCTTTACTATCTTTAGGTATGTGCCTTTTATCCCTGATATCTCCAAGACTTTAAACATGAATGGGTGTTGGACTTTGTCAAATGCTTTTTCGGCATCTAAGGAGATGATCATGTGGTTTTTCTCTTTCAGTTTGTTTATGTGATGGATTACATTGATTTCACTTACACCTATCAAAAGCTAAAATCAAAAACTCAAATGACAATACATGACAGAGAGGTTGTGGAGAAAGGGGGACCTTCCTACATTGCTGGTGGGAATGTAAAGTGGTACAACCACTTTGGAAGTCAATCTGGCACTTTCTCAGACAATTAGGAATAGTGCTTCTTCAAGACCCAGCTATACCACTCCTAGGCATATACCTGAAATTTGCTCAAGTATACAACAAGGACATTTACTCAGCCATGTTTGTATCAGCTTTATTTGTAATAGCCAGAATCTGGAAACAACCCAAATGTCCATCAACGGAGCAATGGGTACAGAAATTGTGGTATTTTTACACAATGGAATACTACTCAGCAATCAAAAACAAAGAAATCATGAAATTTGCAGGCAAATGGTGGGATCTAGAAAAGATCATTCTGAGTGAGGTATCCAGAAGGAGAAAGACACACATGGTATATACTCACTCATTTAGACTTATAAGATAAAATAAACATGATGAAATCTATACACCTAAAGAAGATAAACAAGAAAGAGGACCCGGGGTAAGATGACCAATCCTCACTTAGAAAGACAAATGGGATGGACATTGGATGTAGGAGTAAACAAGTAATAGGACAGGAGCCTACCTGAAAAACTCTACCTAGCAGTGTATCAAAGAAAATACTAAGACTCATAACCAAACCTTCAGCAGAGTGCAGGGAATCATATGAAAGAAGGGGGTAGTTACTATGAAGTGGAAAGGATAGGAGCTCCACAAGAAACGAATATATCTGGACACAGGGGTCTTTTCTGTGACTGACACTCCACTGAGGACCATGTGTGGATATAACCTAGAACCTCTGCTTGGATGAAGCCTGTGGTAGCTCAGTAACCAATTGGTTTCCCATAGTAAGGGGAACAGGGACTATTTCTGATGTAAACTCAATCGCAGGCTCTTTGACCTCCTCACCCCCCAAGAGAGGAGCAGTCCTGCTAGGCCACAGAGGAGGACTTTGTAGCCAGTCCTGAAGATACCTGATAAACCAGGGTCAAATGAAAGGGGAGGAGGTTCTCCCCAATCAGTGGACTTGGAAAGGGGCAGGGAGAAGCTGAGGGAGGGAGGGTGGGATTTGGAGGAAATGAGGGAGAGTGATACAGCTGGGATATAGAGGTAATAAAATGTAACTAATAAAATAAATAATAATTATAAAAGAAAAAGAAAAAACTCATTGCAATAAGACTCAAGACCTGAGTTTGCCTCAGGGTATAAAAATTCCACTGAATATATGTATGGTCAATGACAGTAGGCTGTTAGAACAACAAATACTAGAAAACAAACATTGGTGTGTTGCTTTTAAGTAGAGAAAAAAATCCATAGCAACAATATGTACATTCTGGCACCTCTCTGCGAGCTGTCACCAGTGCTGGGGTGGGCTTTGGTGATACAACTGTGTGAGTGATTTCACCTCCTGCAAGTACTCCTTAAACCACGTTTCTGTAACTAAAAGTGATAAAATTCATTCGTTCACTATATTGGAATTTTGCTGTATCTTTACTTCGTTTGTTGTGGAATCCCTGTCTAGCATGCATAGACCTATGTGTTACATCTCCCCAGAAAAAATTTTGTCACATGGTAGAATCATAGTCTTTAGTTCATTACACACTCATGCAATTAATTTAAGATGAGTGCAATTAAAAGCAAATCTTTCTTACACACAACACTAAAAGCATGGCCTATAAAAAAAATCAGCTAGAATTCACCTAAAATCAAATTTATGAATGTCAAAATCCACCACAATATTTTTTAGGTGAAGTGAATAAAAAAAGAAAGTGACAGATGGACGAAATTATCACTCTACTGAAGTTGGCTTCTGCCAATTCACAAAAGCCTACTATTATAGGCAAAAATATTCCAAGTGCTAAAAACCAAAACTCTCACTGCTTCTGAGTAGTGAGTAGCTACAATATGGTGGATGGGTCCTGAGGTGACATAAATATCTGTACCTTTGTCAAAGGAAAAGATATAAGCATTTCATTATATGTCATAGTATGGAATAATCTTACAAAAAATTGAGAATATATTTTAAAATGACATTAAAGTTATTTTCTACATTCTTTAATTAAATAAGATGAAAAGTCAATAAAATACAAGCTAAAATATTTATCATAAATATGATAATAAAAGACCCTCATATATAGAATCAACAAAGAAAGAATACAATTAATTTTTTAAAGGCTTGGCCAAAACATATAAAAGAATATACTTGTACATGAATTTGGAATGCTATCTTAAGCAATTCTTTAAAAAGTTAAGCCCAATGAGTCAGATTTTGTATGTCCAATATATATAATAATCAAGGGCGTTTAACACAATCTCTATAACTTACACACAAACATAAAGTAAATCCCATCAGTGAAACTAATGGAATAATTATTTATCAAATTGACCTAAAAGTCATATTAGTTCAGTTTAATTATATACTAGAAAACGTTGGCTTAACTTCAGAATTTTCCAAATGGATGATTACCAAATAAGTTGTAGTATAACTATAGAGTAAAACATTACAGTTATTAGAAATTTTA